CCTGAGTCAGCTGGGATAGACTCCAGCCCCCCATAACCCCAGTGAAGATTAAGCGATGTACAGATGATGGATGGATGGAGGTGCAACTAAAAAAAACAAATTTTGTGAAGTATTTTTGTAATTTAATTCAGAAAGGAAAACTTCCATATATTCTATATTCATTACATGTAAAGTGAAATATTTCTTTTGTTTTAAATATAGTAATTTTTGTCATAATATTCTTAATTCTTTGAGCTACACCTGCATGTTGCACCAATCAGTAGCTGGTGTTGTGTGTCTTCCACCTTCTGCCTCTAGGTGTCAGCGTTTCCTCACCAAGTTCGGATACAGATTTAACACTTATACCACACATGCATTTACTAAACAAGGCCTGTTTTATTTAAAAGTACAGAACATCTCTCCTCACACACATCAACCTCTCACACATGCAGCATCGTGCAGCGCGCTGCAGATGCTGCTATTCTTTTGTTAATGTAACAAAAACAGCAGACAGTCGGCGTATTAATTTACTAAAGCTCGTTTAAGCATGATTTCGCTTCACATCTCATTCTCTCGGCAAACAAACACTATAATGGAATTATTGCACATCTCATCTACAACGAATAAAAAGCACAGCATCACGCGGATCATTACGTTTACAGTGACATACAGAGCACGGATTAACAAAAATAACAAAAACAACATATGCAGCAACGTGAAATGAATCAAAGACCAAGTGCAAAACACAATCAGGTGCTATTTGGGAATGGGAAGTACCAAACGAAGAAGGAGAGGGTCCACTTCAAACAGCTTGTCCACGGGGAGCTTCTGCATTGATCTAACAAAAGGCTTCTTTAACTCACTTTTTTTTGGTTCTCTGCGTGTCGTGTCGTGATAAAACTCTGGTGCAACCTGCTTCACCTCACTGTGAGCAAACATCCCACACGGTGAAACATCTGGCGAGCCTTTTCTTCAGCACGCTGCTCTTCAATGGATCCACAAACAAGCTGTTCAACCGGAGGAGGAACTCCCCTTTGAAGTGAACAATCCCTTCANTGGCACATGTGAAGTTAGCAGGAGAGTCGTGCTGTCCTGCTGCGCCACAGATTCAGAGCACATTTAGAAACCTCCACAGCTCACGTCTAGCACAGATATGAAGGCTGTGGGAGTGGACAGATCTGCTAGTGGTCAGAGGTCTGCAGCTGAACTGTGTGAATGAACATCATGGCAGCCATTAACCTGTCCATCATTCCTTTAATTAACCTCCTGCTATTCTTCTAGTGGTTTGTTTAAGGCAGGAAATAGTATAAAAATAAACAGTATCTTGTTCAAAAAGGCTGCGTAAGTGTACAGCTGGAATGTTCCTGTTTTACCAGAAGCTTCTGATGGTTTAACCTGAAGTTGTTGAGCGGATAAAAGCTTTTTTTTTCTTTCCTTTGCCTTGATATCATCAGGTAGGTTACCAAGGCTTCTCTCAGGAAAACCCCCAAGTGAAGTGTCTACCCTCCCTCCACTGGAGACGTACCGGTGCCCACATCCGATGATGATTTCTTGCAGTTTCCGGAGGTTTCCGGAGGCTCAGAGCAGGCAGATGAGACTCTTCCCCTCCTCGATCTCCTCCTGAACCTTATCGCTGGAGGTGGCGATCTCAGCCTGCGCCGACAGAACGGCACACAGAAAGGTGGCCAGCGTTCCTCCGATCGCCGTGTAGAACGCCCAGCCCAGCGAGCAGAGGGACGGCCTGAAGGGCGAGGCCTCGGGGCCGCAGTAGCCGAGCACCTTCTCCGAACCCCAGCCAGCGGGGTACAGCATGAGGCCCACCATCAGCAGCAGGCCTGCGGGGGAAGAGGCGAAGAGGTTTTAGTCACGTCAACATCGAGGATGAAATCACAGCTCAGGTGGGAACGCGGTGACTCAGCCGGGCTTAAAGATAACATCTATTATTCAGCTGACAGGCATTTGGTTTGTGATGAGAGGTGAGACTCCATTTGAACCTCCAACCCCCACGACACTGATGAGTACCTGCTCAAGAGACGAGTGCGTCCAAACACACCTGTGGGGCCCCACTGCTCCAAGGTAGGGGCAAAACGCCTCCGAGAACTTTGGCTGGAATATTCAAACTCCAGCTCAGGAAAGTGTTGCCAGCTCGTAAAGTCAGATGTTGCAACTCGTAAACTCAGTAGCAACAATGAATGTTCCCCAAAGGCCATAACGAGGTTATAAAACATAATGTGATTGCATAATCTCGCTTGCAAGGACTGTGTGAGAGCCATGTACAGCTAAAAAAGGGTAAAAAAGATAAAAACTTTAAATACGATTTTGGTTGGAAATATAGAAATTTGCTGTGTTAAAAGCTAAGGGTCAAATCCAACGTTATAAAAATATAAATACTGATTTAAGATAAAGTTTAAAATTTAAAAACGTCATTTCATTGGGTAAAGATAAGATCCTACCTTTAGAAGGACGCCTGTGACGTTGTTATTGTGTCTGAATGAGCTACAGGTGTGTGAGATTTTCTACCTGTGGACAACATGGACGTGTAATGTTCAGTTTTGATGGAAGTAAACGGACTTAAACAGATTACTTTGTCCTCAGCATGAGGAACCTTGCACTACTGTGGTTCAGTGCAGCTGCCTAGTGCTGTTTGAAATATCAGCTGCTGACTTTATGTCACAGATGCCATATTATTGGCATTAACTCCAGCTATAAGAGAGGTGAAGCTTCACAACTTGTTCAGTTTGTCCATGATATTCTGTCGCCAATTCCACTTTCCTTCGTTTACAACTGGGAACTTGTAGCAAGAAAAATCCTGAGAATAAAACTGAGTGTAAATTTGTGTCTATGTTCAGTGTGTCTGTTTTTTCTCTTAGGGTGAAATCATTGTATATACATTATATGCAGTAAATTCACAGATTTCATGATCATTTCATATTTTTTTGCACAGTTTTTACTTTAAAAAGATAATTTGTGATTTGCAGAAAATACAGTAAATCTTCAATGTGTTCATGTTATGATTGCAAGCATTTTTTTTGGTAAGTACGGTCAGGCTTTAGTAACACCTTGACATATTTTTATTAATGTATATTAGGAAATAAGAACCGATGACTAGAAAACTCAATCATGAGAATTCTGAATTCAAACTTTACGAGTAAGTTAAATACAAGCTATACCAATAACATATACATTATTATAATTTGAGGTTGTCTTCTGACATAATGACTCATTTTATTCCACCTTTTGTTGCATATTTCCTGCCTATATTCAATTTTCACTTCTGAATAAAGGAAAAAACACTGATTCCATTCTGATTCGAGGGAAACGAGCCTCTGAGTAAACAGTTAGCATGGAATTACATTTTCTTCATTAAACATGTGCTAAACACACATACAGCCTGATCCACAGTAGGGGTCGACCATTCTGGGTGATACCATTATTAGTAACCATGGAGACCAATAACCAGTCAGACAGTGCTGTGGGCGGGACATTGCTCCAGATCACAGGATGGTGAGGACACATAAAGAGAGGCAGAAGCATCAGATCCAATGTAGGACATTTTTAGACTAATTTCTTATATTCGTTAAAAAACAAAACAACAATACAGACAATTGGAAAAATGCTAAATATTGGATCTGACAGTCTATTGACCCCTAATCCCCACATGTTGATGGATATCTCACCTGCAATAGCCTGGAGCAGCCCACAGATGTTGAATATGCTCTTCCTCAGGATGCTCTGGAAGCACAGGCTGAAGACGGAGATACAGGCCACACATCCCAACACCAGCGTCCCCGCCGCCAGAAACAGCATGGCGGCCTGCCAGAAGCCACTGGCCACTTCTCCAAAGGTCCTGGCGTAAGGCCCGCAGCTCACCCCGACTCCCCGGCTCCCGACACGAAGGCAGCGGCTGTAGAGGCCGAGCGACGGCCGGTACTCCCCGGAGTCCACTCCTGCCCCGCTCACGCTGGAGTCCGAGCGCGGGAATCCCAGCAACCAATCAGGGCTCATGAAGGCGATGAGCTCGGCAAAGGCCACTACAATGCTGAGCAGGGTCCAGAGCATGGAGCGGCATGTTACAATGACATGGCACATGGCGGTAGCGCTGAGAAGGTCAAAACCAGTGACAAAAAAAATTAAATAAAAAAATTCCTGAAGCCCTCTGAAGCGACAGCGGAGAGCGCTGCTTCTGGGGAGTTTGGATTCCTTTCCTTACAAAGAGAAAGGTCGAGTTGGTTCCCTGTTCAGACCCAGATGGGCTGCTGATCTTATCCTCTCTGAGCAGATGTTGTCCCTCCTCTCACCACTGTTTTCCTCTTTGCTTTCCCCTCTGTAAGGTCCAGCTCCGGTCATCCCAAACAGCTACAACGCACTGAGGCAGCTTCCTTTAGTCATGTTACCGGCTGAACTGCAAACCTACGAGAACAGAGACACGTGAAGGTCAGACAGATAAACAGAATGTGTAAACATGTGAAGTGGACAAGTGGGAAGAGGGACACAGTGTAGGAATGAGTTCCCATCCGCCGTGAATCATCAAAGTCCCTCGTGTTCGCTGGATGACCAACAGGAAGTCCAATTTGTACCTTTGTCATTAAACAGGCCCATCCTCACCAGAGACCTTCCCACAGACTGCTACTACTTCAAATTCACTGTCGGCCAGCTGTGAGCGCAACTTCCAGATGTCTGTTGGAACAGTCACGATGAGTCACACACACACACACAACTTCTAGAGACAGTAGAGTTTATTCAGTCATAATTTTACTCATGATTACCAGACCTTTGTGTGCTAGATTTTATCTCCAAGTGACGGCAGCCTTGTGTGTTCTGCCAGCGAGCAGCTGTTACACATCAGCGCAGAGCTCTGTTACAGCATGCCACATTTGACACTAACACACAGAATAATCTGACAGACTCTCACTGCTGTGGCAAACATACACGGTGTGAACCAGACCAGTCGGTTCACTGTGGTTATTGGCTTCACAGAGACATTCTATCAGCAGAAATTGATTTCTTTCTTCATCATTCAACGGCAATCAAAGCTTGGATCCAAACTGAACTTGAAATCCATAACAGATAATATTGGGTTCTGTGCGTGTGAGTCAGTGTCGAGGCGTGTAAAGGCCCCAATCAAAGCGGCTGCGATACTGTTGCTATGTTATGATTTAATTGCTGCGACCACACTGGCCTCGACACAGCCGTGGCCTCGTGGGAGCAGGGAGGTTTCTCAGAAGAACGCTGACGTTATGGCCCAGCGTTATGATACACACAGGGAAGTATGTGGGATCTGGTTTAAATATCGCCGGGTTGGCTTTACTGTGTCGGTGGGTCTGACTGGTGGAGTCAGAAGATAACGTCTGTGTGTCTTTTGAATGTATTTCTGGTGGTAGAGAGCCACAGAGATGGTGTTTAACTCAAATCTGTCTCTGAAAATTCAGCCTCACACTCAGTACAACGGAGATAAATAGAATTTTATTCATGGAGCCTGCAGCCCGACACAGTAAATGCAAATGTTGACATATATTGGTCTATTACAGATATGTTGGTATCAGTGGGCCACTTATCGAATATTTGCACTTTTTTGGGGGCAGGGGGTCATTTAGAAATGGTGTCCATTGTTTACAATACTCTCTGCAGCACATGTAGCAGAGTACTTGTCAATAAATTGGTCACTAGTTTGTGCTGGAATGTTAAAAAGCAATTGCTCCATCATTATCCAAACTCTACATATAAATAAAGAACAGTGGCCGATAGGTCGATATTGGAATTACTTGGAATTTACTCCCCAGTTGGGCTCTTGTGTTTACGCTGCGAGGGTTTACATGTGGAGGAGGGGATTACTTTGTTATTCTTGGTCCAAACTGGCAACAAGTGGCACATTCATTACACAAGCATCAATTTCAGTCAACACTAAAATTGCAGCAGCACTACAGCAGTTAAAGTCTGTAACAAAATTTCCAAAAATCTGAAGTGTTGTGCTGATTTCTTGTGACCATTTCTGTAGCTTTCCTATTTGTTA